GTAATGTACAACCTGTAGATAGAGTGTAAAGGAAAGAAATGAACTCCGCAGTTGCGAAGTTAAAGCCTAAAAGAATTTCGTCAACGGAATATCAACTCATGATCTCACTGTGTTTATTCTTGTTTGATGGGAGTATTGAGTAGTATTCTCCGTTCTTTTTCCAGTTTCGTTTCATTTTTTCTTGAACAAGTAGACTTTCCGCCATCTTAGTTTCGCCCAGCAGAGAACCGCTGGACGACACGGCGTCGCACAAAACCTGAAATGTAAATAAGGTGTTGTTAGTATCTTTCGTGATAGTGGTAATCAAATTCAGCTCTGATACGTGGAGTGATGGCGCGAGTCTGCTCGCTGAAATCAACCCTACTGTTAGGCGTAGTTTCTGCTGTTGTGACTTCGTATTGTTGCTGTGAAGAATTCCAGTCTCCTAAATTTCACAGAAACAATTTGTCAGAATCTGGAAACAAGTTACTTTCTTTCCAAACGAACACCTTGAGATCTGAAGGAGACAGGTTAAACAGTGCTGGTGAGTGAGTGATAGATTTCTCAAATCTCTTCAGCTTTTAAAGCCATTCACTGTAGTAGAGTGCCATAAACGCAGTATAATTCAACTGAGAATTCTATTCATGGATATAAGACATAAGATAATTTCATACACGTTTGATAACAACACGTTTGGTTTATTTTCTTTCAAAAACGAAAACTGAATGGGTGATAATGTCTTATTGCAATTGCTGTGCAGTGCTTTTCTTCATCGTCCAGATGGATTTTACTGTATGACTTTTACAACTTTTTTATTACTTTATCTCTAGAAATCAGATTGTGTGCATGAATTCCTTTAACCCGCATTTCTAATATTGTTTTAATTCGGCGTAGATATTTCATAAGGTATCAGTAGAGCTTCAGGTCTTTTCTCTGACGTAGTTTTTCGGTTTCTTGCGGAAGTCGTGTTCATCGGGAATGTTTTAAACTTTTTTTTTTCCTTTTTCAAGCTAAGAGTTTTTTCATCTGATAGGATTTCTCTGCAGGAAACAAACCTTACCCGGGGATTGCTATCTGACAAGGGTGTTATCAAAACCTGTCGTTAGCAAATTTCTTTCTGGGAGTCTGATAACAAGCCCTGAACTTATGTTAGCCCAAACGCATTTTGGTGGATTTTTTTCGGGAAGGCTTATCATCATGGGGCGCTTATCATTGAAATAAATTTTGTATCTGAAACATTTTTTGGTTCATACAAAGCAGAATGAAGCTAAAGCTCTACAAACGAACATAATGATATGAAATCCGAGTCTTACAGTCCATAAGTAAACCTTACGGGTATCTGAGGCATACTCTAAAATCAAAGGTAGAACAAGGTGAACAATAAGGGGCTTATAATCGGAAAGAAAGTTATATCTTTCTTTAAGAGCGTTATTATAAGCCCACGTTTTGTGTGGAGGGGGCGGGGGCTTATTTTCGGAAGGAGTTCTGCGTATTAGTTTTGAATGGGCGTATTTCTATAGGACTTATTTTTCTTGAGGGTGGGAGGTGGAATTTAACAGTACACCCCAAGGTTTTTTTCTACTTCCCTAGAATCTTGTTTGTTTGCCTCTAACATATCTTTTTCGTCACGTTCGATTGAGCATGAAAAAGAACGCTGTATTCGAGGACGTTATCTTAACCGAAAAACTTCGCTGGTCTGTCTTTATTTTACAGCCGTACGAACGAAACTCACACCTTTGAGCTACGATGGTTCATTGGGCTGTTTACACGGTATTCCGATACCAAACAGGACATTAGACACTTCATTCACACCCCAACAAGAAAGAACTGTTCTCATGGAGATATTCAACCAAACAGCTGGTCATAATTGGCACGACAACACATACTGGGGAAATTACTCAGTATCTCACTGCACCTGGTATGGAATCACATGTGATCGTACCTTACGCTACGTCATCAGCATCTCTCTTACAAACAACAACTTAGATGGGACTCTTCCACCAAGCCTGTGGAAGTTACGTAATTTGCTGGGCTTGTGTATTAAGGGCAACAAAGGGTTGTCAGGCCATCTCAGTAACATCTTGTCTGCCAATATGACTACCTTACTACGCGTGGAACTTGCCTTTAACAATTTGTCTAAAGAAATTCCTGGTAAAATTTTGGCCGGTATGAAGTTGCTGGTGAAACTGCAACTTTGCTGTCAAAAAGGAAGCGGTCTTGATGGAGAAATACCAGAGGAAATCGGAAACTTGACGGAGCTACAAGTTCTTAGTCTTGGGGGAAACCTGGGGTTGCATGGTTTAATTCCGAAGAGCATTGCAAAATTGAAAAAACTCTACTTTTTTGATCTTGAAACTGCTGAGTACTTCAGCGGTTTTGAAAACTTATTCAACCTGTCATCTTTACGTTACATGCATCTTTCTCTCGCTGGACTAAGTGGAACTTTACCCGACGAGTTTGGATTGTACTTTCCCGAAATGATCGAGTGTCTTTTGCCAGGAAATAATTTCTCTGGAAACATTCCTTCAACGTTGGGCAACATGACAAACTTGCTACGTTTAAACCTGGCAAGAAACCGTTTTTCAGGAAAAATCCCAAAAAGCGCTGGTTCAATCCGCAAGCTTCAAGTTGTCGACTTAAGTGGGAATCAGTTGTCATCGTTCGAGGAAGAAATTTCGTTTGAATCAATTAAAGTACTCCTTCTTGCTAACAATAAACAGCTCACTTGGTCTTTGGATGACCTCTTAGAAGCGATGGAACCGGCCAAAGAATCCTTGCACATTCTTAACATCCGCGACTGCAATATTTCTGGCACGATCCCTGCCAAGCTTTGGGACTTCATAAAGTTGGTATCTATAGATCTGCGACATAATATGTTGAGTGGAAAGCTTCCGTTGATGGGGTCGTCCGAAGTGTTGTATTTCCTACACGACATCGATGTGTCCATGAACAACCTTTCCGGGCGAATTCCTGAACATTTTGTAGATTTACCTTCTCTGGAAGTTCTAAATGTCTCAAAGAATCCTCACATGCATGGATCTGACAAGGCACGTGTAACGTTGCCTGATTACATGACGGTTGATTTTACGACTTTTAGCCACAGAAATCCTTCTGATAAGTTCAAGTGTCCCAATGCTCGTCTCATCTATAACAACGGACTTGTGGTTTTAGATCCTAGTTATTATCATTACCGTCTGTGCATTTGCGATGTTGGATACTATGGCTCAGCTAACACTTGCTTACCTTGCATGCCAGGTGCAGTGTGCAAGGATCAAATGCTTCCTGTTCAGAATATGGTCATCAAAGCGGGATACTGGCCGTCATCACGTGATCAGAACGTGACTCATCTTGTTGACTGTTCACGGGCTTTGGGCACAAGTCCCTTAGTAAACACGTCTTGTAACCCAACGGGCGCTTGTGACTGCCGGATTGGACGGGTCATGGAGAAAGGAAAGATGAATGCCAGAACATCCACCGTTTGTAATAAGTCATGTCTTTGCCGTACAGGTAGCAAAGAACGGTTTTGTTCACTCTGTGAAGATGGCTATTACAAACAAGGGATCCTTTGCTATGCCTGCCCCAAAACTGAAGCCAGCGTCTACATCTTGGCTGCACTTACTGTCGTCACTATGGTGCTGTTAATTCTTGCGTTTTTCCTGTACGAAAGAAAGCGCTTTCTTGCTGTAGTACTTGTCTTCTCAGAAATAATTTTGTTAGCGGTGTTAGCCATGCTCCACATCATTCCAGGCTGGCTGCTTGAACTCAACACAATAGCTCTCTTTGTTGGTTTAGCTGAAAGAGGTAAAGCCGCGCGAGGAATCCTTAAGATCAGCGTGTTTTATTTCCAAACTCTGGACGCTTTAATTTCCAACTATGATATCTGGCCAAAAGAAGTTCTTGAAACTCAACGCTATATCAGCAACGTGTTTAACTTGCATTTCTCAGGTTTGGCGTGTGTGATTCCTAGCTTGTTTACACCACTCGGCGAGCTTGTGTCCCTTATTCTTTTCCCTGTCGTCTGTATCTTGGGTATTTGGTTGTACTATGGTCTTGGACACCTCTTGTTTGCTGTTCTTAGACTTGACAATTCGCAAGAAAGGCGATTTCGATTACGGAATACCTGTCTACAACTGTCCATCGTGTCTCTTAACCTCACCTATTTTCCCATTGTCAAGAAAACAGCTTCTGTCTTGGCTCGCTGCGGAGAAGACAACGATTATCATTACCTAAGAGAGGCACCATGGATTGAGTGCAAAGGTCATATTTACACCACACTACAAGTGTTAGGCTGGCTTGCAATGGTACTTTATGTGACTGGGGTCCCGTTTGGAGTGTTCTTACCTCTCCTGCGAAAAAATAATGTTGTAAAAAGAGACGAGCTGCCTCCACAAGAACAAGAAACTTTGAATAGTTGGCTAGGTTCTATCTACCTACCATACAAGAAAGAATTCTGTTCCTATTTCGAAATATTACTTCTGGTAAGGCGCATGCTAATTGCATTCTCTCTTTCCCTTATCACACGCACTTCGTCATTTCAGACGATTGCAGTTTGCTTTGTATTGTTGCTTTCCCTGTGCTTCCAGCTTCTCTTCAGGCCGTTTAATGATTCTTACCGAAAGATTCCTTTGGAAAACACAATGGAAGCCTTGGTTCTTTTGACCTTGCATTTCTCTTTTGTGAACATCAGATACGCAGTTCAGAAACCGGAATCTTCTGCGCCTATCGTTTGGATGCTGGTGACAGTGAATTTATTTCTCCTTTGCGGAATGGCTCTCTCGATAATTTTACTCCTTGGCAGGGGACATGTCGTAAAGATGCCTGTTGTGGCAAATGAAAAGGTGGTAAATGACGAAATCGCACCAGTCTATCAAAGAGATTCCCCTTTGTCACTGCTGATTAGGAATGGACCCGAAGAACAATATGGGACGTTTAATATTTCACAAATTTAAACTATGTACAATGGAGTAATCAGAAATGGTGACATGCTTACGTATTCTGATGCAGAAAGGAGAAGCGAGGTCGAGTGTTTATGTAAACCCGATGCACCAGCGAGGTTTTATTTACATAAGTATTTTCGTATTCTTCAAAATTTTCTCCAGCGTTTGCATTCTTTAGGTTGCAAAGCATGTTTGATATAAGCGGTATGCATCGTACGGTTAGTGAAGGCGGTCGAATATCTTTCCTTCACTCCCGTTTAGTCACCGGAGTTTTACCCTATAAAACTGACCATATTATTGAATCTAACGTTTTTTTTTATATATAATCATTATAAATCATAATAACAAGTTGCGGATCTCAAATGTGTTCCCTCCGTTGATGTTTCTGTATTTAGGGACTGTGCAATAATTACCTGGAGGCGGCGGGGGGGTGGGGGTTGGAAAATTAGAGGGGGGCATAGGAGAAAATGACAACAAGAGAGAGAGGGGGTGGTTAGATGTAAAATTTAATACATACAGGGAGGGGGCATTGCTTTTTCATTCCTTTTTGCAAACTGGAAAAGTAGTGGAAGAGTTATTAGAGTTCAGATATAAATACTAACATTGTGATAAAACTGACAAATTTATCAACTCTAAGGTGTTCTGATCTACGAACGGTTGTTTTCCTATCTATCATGCAATAGGAAAGGAATGCCTCTGTTATATATGTTAAAACAGTGCGACTTTATTGGCACTAGGATTTAATAAAACAGGAACTTGAAACTTTAATTAAAAGTTGCAAAAGTAGCACTATAATGTTACTCAATGAAAAAGAAAGATGCCAATGCATAGCATACATGGCATCATAATTTAGCAGAATGAAAAACCCAACTGTTGAAATTTTAATAGCAATACAAATTTAAAGTATGGTAAATAAAAGACAGAATGATTAAATTGAGCTTCACTGAAACAGTCCAGAGTAAGCTCATACCCAAGCTCAGAGTCCAGTGATTCTGATGACTCTTCAAATGAAGAGTCATTTGAAGTGATGTTTGTACCGGAGGAAGAACTCCAATAAGTAAACTAGGTATGAGGGAATCAATGGGAGGAGACTTTTTCAAGGTGGGGTTAGCCTTAATATTATCATTATTTGGGGAGCTTGAAATCAATTTTTGCTTAATGAGAGGGGGTATGACTTAGTTTTGGGGCATATTTCACCCATTTCCCAG